TGTTCTAGTTTAGTTCTAGTTCAGTTCTAGTTCAGTTCTAGTTCAGTTTCTAGTTCAGTTCTAGTTCAGTTCTAGTTCAGTTCTAGTTCAGTTCTAGTTCAGTTCTAGTTCAGTTCTAGTTCAGTTCTAGTTCTAGTTCAGTTCTAGTTCAGTTCTAGTTCAGTTCTAGTTCAGTTCTAGTTCAGTTCTAGTTCAGTTCAGTTCTAGTTCAGTTCTAGTTCAGTTCTAGTTCAGTTCTAGTTCAGTTCTAGTTCAGTTCTAGTTCAGTTCTAGTTCAGTTCAGTTCAGTTCCAGTTCAGTTCTAGTTTCAGTTCTAGTTCAGTTCTAGTTCAGTTCTAGTTCAGTTCTAGTTCAGTTCTAGTTCAGTTTCTAGTTCAGTTCTAGTTCAGTTCTAGTTCAGTTCTAGTTCAGTTCTAGTTCAGTTCTAGTTCAGTCTAGTTCAGTTCTAGTTCAGTTCTAGTTCAGTTCTAGTTCAGTTCTAGTTCAGTTCTAGTTCAGTTCTAGTTCAGTTCTAGTTCAGTTCTAGTTCAGTTCTAGTTCAGTTCTAGTTCAGTTCTAGTTCAGTTCTAGTTCAGTTCTAGTTCAGTTCTAGTTCAGTTCTAGTTCAGTTCTAGTTCAGTTCTAGTTCGTTCTAGTTCTGTTCTAGTTCAGTTCTAGTTCAGTTCTAGTTCAAGATTCTAGTTCAGTTCTAGTTCAGTTCTAGTTCAGTTCTAGTTCAGTTCTAGTTCAGTTCTAGTTCAGTTCTAGTTCAGTTCTAGTTCAGTTCTTAGTTCAGTTCTAAGTTCAGTTCTAGTTCAGTTCTAGGTCAGTTCATGTTCGTTCTAGTTCAGTTCTAGTTCAGTTCCTAGTTCAGTTCTAGGTCAGTTCTAGTTCAGTTCTTAGTTCAGTTCCTAAGTTCAGTTCTAGGGTCAGTTCTAGTTCAGTTTTAGTTCAGTTCTAGTTCAGTTCTAGTTCAGTTCTAGTTCAGTTTAGTTCAGTTCTAGTTCAGTTCTAGTTCAGTTCTAGTTCAGTTCTAGTTCAGTTCCTAGGTTCAGTTCTAGGTCAGTTCGAGTTCAGTGCTAGTTCAGTTCTAGTTCAGTTCTAGTTCAGTTCTTAGTTCAGTTCAGTTCTAGTTCAGTTCTAGTTCAGTTCTAGTTCAGTTCTAGTTCAGTTCTAGTTCAGTTCTAGTTCAGTTCTAGTTCAGTTCTAGTTCAGTTCTAGTTCAGTTCTAGTTCAGTTCTAGTTCAGTTCTAGTTCAGTTTTGGTTCAGTTCTAGTTCAGTTCTAGTTCAGTTCTAGTTCAGTTCTAGTTCAGTTCTACTTCAGTTCTAGTTCAGTTCTAGTTCAGTTCTAGTTCAGTTCTAGTTCAGTTCTAGTTCAGTTCTAGTTCAGTTCTAGTTCAGTTCTAGCTCAGTTCTAGTTCAGTTCTAGTTCAGTTTTGGTTCAGTTATAATTCACTGCGACTTATTTTTAATGCTTTGCAAGCTGAAGGCGTACGGTCCATGAGTGTGTATTAGCTGGTAAATTTAACATATTTTTATTCAAACATTTCATAACAAAATTGTGTAATGAAATGTTTAAAACATTTAATTTAGATAAAATATAAACTATTCACTGCTTTTCCCGTACAATTTCTCTTTTCACCTTAAACTAGCCCTTTTTGACATTTCAAATATGATGGTTGTACTTTTGTCTATGAACTTTTTTTCATAATATAAATATTTTGCGCATAAACAAGATTTGTAAAATTTTGAAGCGGCTAAAATAAATACAAACAAAAAATTTACATAAAATTTAAATTTAATTTTATGTTTTGTTTAACACTTTGCTTTTGCTTAAAGCATTTAATGATAGTTTACATTTAAGATAAAATCTTTTGTTTTAAAATTCTTGTTTGCAAACTTGATTTTATTTTTAATAATAAAAAAAATAAATATATAAATAATTTATCTGCAAACACACATCATTACTTTCACTATCACAAAAAGATCTTTAACAACAAAAAATTTATATTAATCAAAATGAAATTTTTAAAAAATTCTTTGAGAAGTAGTTTACAAATAAACTTTCGCCGTCTTAATAATAAAAAAAAATAAAAACAATTTTTTTTGTTGTTTCTTAAATTAAAATTCCTCTACATTATTTGCAATTCTTAACAGCTCATGCCAACCAAACCAAACTACAACGCCACAGATTTACGTGTTTAATTTTATTAATGTAAAAAACAGAATAAAATCAGATTTTTATTTAATGAATTTAGAATTGACTAGAGTTGGTTTTTGATGTGAGTAAAATTAAAATAAAATAGAAAGAAAATTTCGTTAAAAAAAGTAGTTTAGAAAAACTATAATATGAAAGAAACCCACAGCACACTTTATGTGGAAAAATTATAAAGAAATAAACATTTATGGCGCTTTTTATTTAAAAAATTTGTTATAAATAGAAAAAAAGGGGAGAGTCCAATTTTATTACAAGAATATTGGAGTTTTTTTTTGTTTGTAATAAAGACATAAATGCAATAATAAAAAACTTTTAGTTTTATAGAAAAAAAATATATTAAAATTTCAGTATAGCTAATAGTGTGGAATGCATAATTGATCATAAAATGTTCTTGGAAATAAATAAAATATTCATAATTTCTAAAGAATAAAGTTAAAGTATTTGGAACAGTATTTTATAAAATATTCTTAAAGCAAAATGTAGCGGCAAAAAGTTCAACGGACACGAATAACATTTTAAAGAAATTTTGAATTACATCTCTCTTCTAAATTTCTCTTTTCTTTAAAACGGAAATCAAACCTTTATTATAAATTATTATTTGTTTCAACAAATAGCATTTTAATGATCATATCACCTCTCAATTTCATTGGGAAACTTGTTAAAAACAAAAACAAAATCCAATTACTGACGGAACTAATTTAGTTCATATTTAAGGTTTTTTTTTTTTTTTGGTTCATGGTATTCCATTCAACTATATCTAGACCTGATTTTTATTTTAAATAATCTATATTTTTTGTTGTTAATATTCACAACGGTAAATATGTACAGGCCATGTGTTTTCTAAACAAAAGACTGAAGATACAAACTTAAGTTTGTTTACTATTCAAAACATGTAACATTGCTAACGAAACAAAAGAGTTTAGAAACAAACTTGATTTGTTTACCGGTGGATTTATATGGGACACTCACTGTTAAATAGAGTAAAAAGTGGACAGATATATAGTGTAGAGTCCAGACTATAGACTGATCAATAATGTAGACTATAGACTGATGTATAGTCTACAATATGGACAGCTCTATAGTCAAAACTAAATACTGATCTATAGTCTAGACTATAAACTTTTCTAAATAAGAAAGACTATAAACTGATCTATAGTCCGGACTACAGACTGACTACAAGACTATAGACTAATCTATAGTCTGGACTACAGACTGCTCTACAGTCTAGACTATAGACTGATCTATAGTCAAGACTATACACTGATCTGTAGTCAAGACTATAGACTGATCTGTAGTCAAGACTATAGACTGATCTGTAGTCAAGACTATAGACTGATCTATAGTCAAGACTATAGACTGATCTATAGTCAAGAATATAGATTGATCTGTGGTGAAGAATATAGATTGATCTGTGGTCAAGAATATAGATTGATCTGTGGTCAAGACTATATACTGATCTGTAGTCAAGACTATAGACTGATCTATAGCCAAGACTATAGACGTATCTATAGTCAAGACTATAGACTGATCTATAATTAAGACTATAGACTCATCTATAGTCCAGACTATAGACTTATCTATAATCAAGACTGTAGACTGATCTATACTCAAGACTATAGAATGATCTATAGTCAAGACTATAGATTGATCTATAGTCAAGACTATAGACTGATCTATAATCAAGACTATAGACTGATCTATAGTCAAGACTATAGAATAATCTATAGTCAAGACTATAGACTGATCTATAGTCATGACCAAATACTGATATATAGCCTAGTTAATAGACATAACTATAGTTAGTATACAATATGAAGTGACCTATAGTCAAAACTATAGACTGATCCACAGTCAAGACTGATCGATAGTCCAGACTATAGACTAATCTATAGTCAATACTATAGACTAATCTATAGTCAATACTATAGACTAATCTATAGTCAAAATTATAGACTAATCTATAGTGAAAACTATAGAATCTATAGACAAAACTGTAGAGTGATATATAGACTGATCTATAGTCAAGACTATAGACTGATATATAGTCAATACTATATACTGATCTATAATCAAGACTATAGACTGCCTATATACTGATCTATAATCAAGACTATGAACTGATCCACAGTTAATATAATAGACTGATCCACAGTTAAGACAATAGATTGATCTATCGTCAAGACTATAGACTGATTTATAATCAAGACTGATCTATACCCAGGACTATAGACAGATCTATAGTCAATACTATAGACTGATATATATTCAAGACTATATTCAAGACTATAGACTGATCAATACTCAAGACTTCAGACTGATCTATAGTCAAGACTATAGACTAATCTATAGTCAATACTATAGACTAATCTATAGTCAAAACTATAGAATCTATAGGCAAAACTGTAGAGTGATCTATGGACTGATCTATAGTCAAGACTGTAGACCGATCTATAGTCAAGATTATAGACTGATCTATAGTCAAGTCTGTTTGCAATTACAATAGTTATCAAGTTGTCAGTTCTGATAGACTGATCAATACTCAAGACTTCAGACTGATCTATAGTCAAGACTATAGACTAATCTATAGTCAATACTATAGACTAATCTATAGTCAAAACTATAGAATCTATAGGCAAAACTGTAGAGTGATCTATGGACTGATCTATAGTCAAGACTGTAGACCGATCTATAGTCAAGATTATAGACTGATCTATAGTCAAGTCTGTTTGCAATTACAATAGTTATCAAGTTGTCAGTTCATCTTTATAATCGTAATATAGCAAAAAAAAAAGAAGCACTTACCGTCTCTTGAGGCATGGTATTACAACTACGTAGTGGTAATTTATAACGTAAGGGACCGTCATGATCTCTGTGTGGGAGAAACAGAAAACGAAATCAGTAAAAAGAAATATAAAAATTAATGCCCCTATTATGGTTTACAACTCAACTCAGTTGAGTTGAAATTGAAACAACTCAACTTTAGAACAACTCAACTTATATTTGGTATTATGAATTACAACCAATTTCAGTTGTAATTGTGTTGATGTTGCCAACCTAAAAAGTGCTTTTTTGTCATAAAATTAAGTGAAAAGTTTATGAATTTCTGTTTTTCGTAAATGACAAATGTATTGAACATCTTTTTATTGTAAATTCGCTTGAAATCAGTGATTAATGAAATTTAAAAAAAATGTTTAAAAAAAAACTTTACTTTGTTTTATTTTAAAAATTTATTCTAAACAATTGAGTTGTAATTTGTTACAACTGCTTTTGATAAGTTGTAATTTTTTTCAAAAAAGTTGTAATAAATTTCAACTTTAAATTTTAAGTTGTTATCGATAATACCAAAGACCAAAATTTCAACTAAAGAAGAGTTGAGTTGTAAACCATAATAGGGGCATAAAGTAAACTACTACAATTTTTATAATGAATATACCAAATTACACAATATTTCTATATCTCACCTATATTCCGTTAGACATGTTGAATTCTTCGATAAACCCTTGGGATATATCATGCCACTAAATAGACTATTCTCATGATTAACGGGGGCATCCTTGATGGTTATTAACATCGAACCCGATAAACATTTTATTCTCACCGTTGGCTCTACTGTGGGTTTTGAGGATGTGCTTTCATATTCTTCTAGTTCAGCATAAAGATCTTCTGTAAAGAAAAAATAGAAATTTAGAATTAGTTATTTGTTTATTAGTTATTTAAGTAGTATTTCCAAAAGTTTTTTATTAACAATTATGGAGGTGATCTTTATTTTAAATTTTTAAAATTTTATATTATTTTTTCATATTTCCGGTTTTGATACTTTCTTTATAACAATATAAAATGAATAGAATGATAATGTTTTAATTTGTTAATAACGGTAATTAACAACTTACACACACAACTCTATGGATTCTCCTATAAAAACTAGACAGAATTATTAAAAAATTAACATTGTTCCTAAGAACTACAACTAGTAAACAACTAAAAATAACTTCCTAATGTTAAATAATTAGTAATATCTGATAATTGTTAATAAAAATTTAAATATATTTATATTCTTATTATTTTCAGTTTCTTAACTCTAACAATTTTAACTGCTGTTTTGACTTTGGCCCCAGCACAAATCATTTCCCCCGGCAGCTGTCCCCATAATATACAAGTTGTAGAAGATTTTGATGTTAACAAATATCTGGGTAAATGGTATGAATATGCCAAATATCCTGTACATTTTGAGACAAATGGTAAATGTATATGGGCGGAATATTCTCTAGATAATCTGGGCAGTATTAAGGTTAAAAATGCCTTAATAAATGAAAAGTAAGTCAAGCTTTTAATTGAAAAACATCTGAATTATTTTTCAATATGTTTCCTTTTAACCCTAAAGCACTAACGTTTATTCGGATATAATTGGTTCGGCTACTTTAATTTCGAATGCTAAATTATTGGTCAAATTCCCAGTTTCACCGGTAATTACAGTTTCCAGCAATTACTGGATTTTGGCTACGGATTATGACAACTATGCTGTAGTATATTCATGTGTTCCCAAGTCAGATAATTCTCATGGCAGTAAGTTTATTGCCGAAAATTTTAAACAGTTTTAATATTTATTATCTTCTTTTAGCCATTGTTTGGATTTTGACACGCCAACCTATACCGGAGCCAAATATTGTAGAAAATGCTATGGATGTTTTGAAGAAGAACAACATTTCATTGCAGGAATTGAAAATCACCAATCAAATTTCTTGTCATAAGGAAAATGCTTAAATATACTTCAGTTTAATATCAGCTTCTTAAGTAATTACCGGTTATTTGAAAAAAAAAATTAACAATAAAGAATTTTTTAATTACCGAAAAAAAAACAAAATATGTTTTATAATTGCTACATGTTAAACAATCAAGCCTCAATAAGACGTTAAACCTTAAGGGTACAAATAAAAATGCCTACTGACTGAAGTATAGACTAGACTGGACTACAAACTAGAACATAGGTTAGACTATAAAATACACAAAAATATTAAACTACAAACTAGACTATAATAGACTGGACTATATACTACACTACAGACTAGAATATAGACTAGACTAGACTCTAGAACATACTAGCCTCTAGACTATAAACTAAACAACAGATTAAACTATAAACTAGACTGTAGTCTGGACTGTAGACTACACTATAAACAAGACTATAGATAAGACTATAGACTATACTATAGACTAGACTATAGACTATACTATAGACTAGACTATAGACTAGACTATATACTAGACTATAGACTAGACTATAGACTAGACTATAGACTAGACTATAAACTAGACTATAGAATAGACTATAGACTAGACTATAGACTAGACTATAGACTAGACTATAGACTAGACTATAGACTAGACTATAGACTAGACTATAGACTAGACTATAGACTAGACTATAGACTAGACTATAGACTAGATTATAGTCTAGACTATAGACTAGACTATAGACTATACTATAGACTAGAATATAGATTAGACTATAGACTAGACTATAGACTAGACTATAGATTAGACTATAGACTACACTATAAACAAGACTATAGATTAGACTATAGACTAGACTATAGACTAGACTATAGACTAGACTATAGACTAGACTATAGACTAGACTATAGACTAGACTATAGACTAGACTATAGACTAGACTATAGACTAGACTATAGACTAGACTATAGACTAGACTATAGACTAGACTATAGACAAGACTATAGACAAGACTATAGACTAGACTATAGACTAGACTATAGACTAGACTATAGACTAGACTATAGACTAGACTATAGACTAGACTATAGACTAGACTATAGACTAGACTATAGACTAGACTATAGACTAGACTATAGACTAGACTATAGACTAGACTATAGACTAGACTATAGACTAGACTATAGACTAGACTATAGACTAGACTATAGACTAGACTATAGACTAGACTATAGACTAGACTATAGACTAGACTATAGACTAGACTATAGACTAGACTATAGACTAGACTATAGACTAGACTATAGACTAGACTATAGACTAGACTATAGACTAGACTATAGACTAGACTATAGACTAGACTATAGACTAGACTATAGACTAGACTATAGACTAGACTATAGACTAGACTATAGACTAGACTATAGACTAGACTATAGACTAGACTATAGACTAGACTATAGACTAGACTATAGACTAGACTATAGACTAGACTATAGACTAGACTATAGACTAGACTATAGACTAGACTATAGACTAGACTATAGACTAGACTATAGACTAGACTATAGACTAGACTATAGACTAGACTATAGACTAGACTATAGACTAGACTATAGACTAGACTATAGACTAGACTATAGACTAGACTATAGACTAGACTATAGACTAGACTATAGACTAGACTATAGACTAGACTATAGACTAGACTATAGACTAGACTATAGACTAGACTATAGACTAGACTATAGACTAGACTATAGATTAGACTATAGACTAGACTATAGACTAGACTATAGACTAGACTATAGACTAGACTATAGACTAGACTATAGACTAGACTATAGACTAGACTATAGATTAGACTATAGACTAGACTATAGACTAGACTAGACTATAGACTAGACTAGAGACTATACTATAGGCTATACTATAAACTAGACTATAGACTATACTATAGACTATACTATAGACTAGACTATACACTAAACTATAGACCAGACTATACACTGAACCATAGCCTACAGACTAGATTAATGACGTTTTACGGAATGCTCCAAGTTACCAGACAATACATTGCTTTGAGTTTTTCGCCTTAATGGGTTAATTTAGTTTTCCTTTCAACAAAATGTTATTCCTCATCTCTTTTTAATGGCAATTCCGCCAAAGTCTTGTCTTGTTTTCCAATTTTACAGCTTACAACGTAACCAAGTTTGTAATTAAAATAATTTATACGATCATAAATTAAATTGCCTGTATTTTATGATCAATACTTATAAAAAAAAAAAGAGTAAAAGAACAAGGAAAAAATAGTAAAACACAAATTGCAGTGTTGTAAAAAGAATGCTAACGAAGCGGAAAGCAAATTAACAGAATGCAAGGTAAATCGGTGCAAGAGAGAAATAGGGAGAGGAAAAGAGTTCAATGATCTTACGGACTTTAAAGATATACATATGTAAGTACACAGAAAGAAAATTTATCAGATTTTAAGGAAAACTTTCAATTAATAGATCATCGGTGATCGGTGCAAAACATTAATCAGAGAAATCTTCTTTACTGAGAGAAGTGAATAGTTCTGATCGATAATATATATGCTTTCGATATTTCGTCCAAGATTGTGAAACTTATAACAAGAGAGTTATACTGAAGGCAATTTAGAGCGAGAGAGAGTTTAATGATCTGCATGAGTACACGCAAAGGAAATTATGTGGTGATACTATTTCAAAATGTTGATGGGAACATTTGGTGAGCACATTATTGGACTAACAAATATGTACATCGACGAAGGGTATCGATCGGACTAAAGTTGCTTAAGCGTTTTTTTATATTTTTGCCAGTATCAACTCTCATTCTAATGTTTTGCCCTCTATTATCACCAATCAAGTTTTTAATCCCATTTCTTTTTTATTTTACAAATTCCTTAAAGAGTTTAAGCTTTTTCTTATTTCAGTTCTTTTTTGTATAAGAAATTCAAAGGCTAATTTAAAACCATAAAACATAAAATAAATTCCAATTTATTCTCAAACATTTCGCAGTAGATTTCTCTAGATTTCTGTACCCTAAAAAACAAGCTAATTTTTTTACCAAAAAAAGGTATATTTTTTTTTCAACAACTCACAAAATTATAAGTTGAAACCAAATCAGCATTACTAAATCATACGTAAAAAAAAAGAATCCGACAAACAAATCAAGGAAGTTGTTGGTTGCATGATTTCTAGAAACCAACAGCTACAATTTTTAGAAAAAAATCTAAAATGTATAAAAAATTTCTAGCAGCATTAGGCTTCTACAGCACAACAACAACAACATTAGCAGCAGCAATATTTAAAATAACGAAGATAATAATGATGATGTTGATGATCTTAATACGACTAAACTAACAACCAACAAAACAACCTTCTATGGGCTTCTGTAGCTTTTTAAACTGACAAGTCACAGCCATTTGTAAGTTAAAATGTATGCATGTGTGTTAGTTTCTTTTTTTTAATGGAAACTAAGACGCCAAAGAACCTTTAGCATTGCCACAAAAATGTTGTTTAACCAGGAAATGTTGCAAAAAAGCAATAAGAAGACAGCAGCGCACAAACAAAAAGAACATGAAGCTACTCGTATTCCAAGAGAAACCTTAGGCATAACATTGGCATAAATGTGTTCGTCTGTCTGTCTGTCTGCCAGCCTTTTATGTTACTTTTGCCTGAGTCTTTGTTCTGTTTAAGCCCAATTGCAATTCTTGATTGCACTCATCGTATGTGCTGTTAGTTTGTGCTATTATGGCAACAAAAAGGTTCTTAAAAAACTGAAAATTTGTGCCCAAGCAACAGCAGAGTGTTGGCTTTTTAAGAAGGTTCAAGAAACTCTAGTGGCCCAAAACCGTTTTAATAGCATATACCTACTTAGGATTAACCCCTTATGACATCAAAATTGAAATAAGTATTCTAAAGCGATATATATTCTGGCCTATGATCCAGTTTATAATATGGGACTATAGTCTAGTCTATATTCTAGTCTATAGTCTAGTCTATAGTCTAGTCTATAGTCTAGTCTATAGTCTAGTCTATAGTCTAGTCTATAGTCTAGTCTATAGTCTAGTCTATAGTCTAGTCTATAGTCTAGTCTATAGTCTAGTCTATAGTCTAGTCTATAGTCTAGTCTATAGTCTAGTCTATAGTCTAGTCTATAGTCTAGTCTATAGTCTAGTCTATAGTCTAGTCTATAGTCTAGTCTAAGTCTATTAGTCTAGTCTATCGTCTAGTCTATAGTCTAGTCTATAGTCTAGTCTATAGTCTAGTCTATAGTCTAGTCTATAGTCTAGTCTATAGTCTAGTCTATAGTTAGTCTAGTCTAGTCTATAGTCTAGTCTATAGTCTAGTCTATAGTCTAGTCTATAGTCTAGTCTATAGTCTAGTCTATAGTCTAGTCTATAGTCTAGTCTATAGTCTAGTCTATAGTCTAGTCTATAGTCTAGTCTATAGTCTAGTCTATAGTCTAGTCTATAGTCTAGTCTATAGTCTAGTCTATAGTCTAGTCTATAGTCTATTATAGTTAGTCTATAGTCTAGTCTATAGTCTAGTCTATAGTCTAGTCTATAGTCTAGTCTATAGTCTAGTCTATAGTCTAGTCTATAGTCTAGTCTATAGTCTAGTCTATAGTCTAGTCTATAGTCTAGTCTATAGTCTAGTCTATAGTCTAGTCTATAGTCTAGTCTATAGTCTAGTCTATAGTCTAGTCTATAGTCTAGTCTATAGTCTAGTCTATAGTCTAGTCTATAGTCTAGTCTATAGTCAAGTCTATAGTCTAGTCTATAATCTAGTCTATAATCTAGTCTATAATCTAGTCTATAGTCTAGTCTATAGTCTAGTCTATAGTCTAGTCTCTAGTCTAGTCTATAGTCTAGTCTATAGTCTAGTCTATAGTCTAGTCTATAGTCTAGTCTATAGTCTAGTCTATAGTCTAGTCTATAGTCTAGTCTATAGTCTAGTCTATAGTCTAGTCTATAGTCTAGTCTATAGTCTAGTCTATAGTCTAGTCTATAGTCTAGTCTATAGTCTAGTCTATAGTCTAGTCTATAGTCTAGTCTATAGTCTAGTCTATAGTCTAGTCTATAGTCTAGTCTATAGTCTAGTCTATAGTCTAGTCTATAGTCTAGTCTATAGTCTAGTCTATAGTCTAGTCTATAGTCTAGTCTATAGTCTAGTCTATAGTCTAGTCTATAGTCTAGTCTATAGTCTAGCTATAGTCTAGTCTATAGTCTAGTCTATAGTCTAGTCTATAGTCTAGTCTATAGTCTAGTCTATAGTCTAGTCTATAGTCTAGTCTATAGTCTAGTCTATAGTCTAGTCTATAGTCTAGTCTATAGTCTAGTCTATAGTCTAGTCTATAGTCTAGTCTATAGTCTAGTCTATAGTCTAGTCTATAGTCTAGTCTATAGTCTAGTCTAGTCTAGTCTATAGTCTAGTCTAGTCTAGTCTAGTCTAGTCAGTCTAGTCTAGTAGTCTAGTCTATAGTCTAGTCTATAGTCTAGTCTAGTCTAGTCTAGTCTAGTCTATAGTCTAGTCTAGTCTAGTCTATAGTCTAGTCTAGTCTAGTCTAGTAGTCTAGTCTAGTCTAGTCTAGTCTAGTCTAGTCTAGTCTAGTCTAGTCTAGTCAGTCTAGTCTAGTCTAGTCTAGTCTAGTCTAGTCTAGTCTAGTCTAGTCTATAGTCTAGTCTAGTCTAGTCTAGTCTAGTCTAGTCTAGTCTAGTCTATAGTCTAGTCTATAGTCTAGTCTATAGTCTAGTCTATAGTCTAGTCTATAGTCTAGTCTATAGTCTAGTCTATAGTCTAGTCTATAGTCTAGTCTATAGTCTAGTCTATAGTCTAGTCTATAGTCTAGTCTATAGTCTAGTCTATAGTCTAGTCTATAGTCTAGTCTATAGTCTAGTCTATAGTCTAGTCTATAGTCTAGTCTATAGTCTAGTCTATAGTCTAGTCTATAGTCTAGTCTATAGTCTAGTCTATAGTCTAGTCTATAGTCTAGTCTATAGTCTAGTCTATAGTCTAGTCTATAGTCTAGTCTATAGTCTAGTCTATAGTCTAGTCTATAGTCTAGTCTATAGTCTAGTCTATAGTCTAGTCTATAGTCCTAGTCTATAGTCTAGTCTATAGTCTAGTCTATAGTCTAGTCTATAGTCTAGTCTATAGTCTAGTCTATAGTCTAGTCTAGTCTAGTCTATAGTCTAGTCTATAGTCTAGTCTGTAGTCTAGTCTATATTCGAGTATATATTCTGGTCTATAGTATAGTCTATATTCGAGTATATATTCTGGTCTATAGTATAGTCTATAGCCTAGTCTAGTCTATAGTGTAGTCTAAAGTCAAGTTGATAGTCTAGTCGATAGTTTACCCTATGGTCTAGGCGAGGCTATAGACCAGACTATAGACGAGACTCTAGTCCAGACTATAGAATATAGACTAGACTATAGACTATACCATAGTTCATACGACAGACCAGACTATACTCCATACCACAGACTAGACTTGTCTTGCAGTGGGTTAATTTTTTCTCAGTCATTTGGGAATAATATTCCACAACTCTTCTCTCTGACTTTAAAAGTTAATCTTGATGATCTTCTTTTGTAAATTCTCTTATTTATTTTGATTCTGCCTTAAAAATGTTCATTTCTTTACACGACTTCTTGTGCATTATGTGCTAGTGCTGATGGTGGTAATGATGATCTTGGGACATTTTTCTTCTTTTTCTTCTTCTTGTCTAACAGTGGCTGCATTCTGCTTAACAGGGCTTATAAGAGTCTGCAGCCAGACTTATAAGAGTCGTTCGTGTTTGTTTTATTGTTGTTGTTACCATCTTTGTTGTTTTTGTCTTCAATGTCATTAACGTTGCATGATGTTAAATATTACTTGCAACTTTTTTTTTTTTTTTTGATATTATTTCTTTAATACTTTTTTGTTTTTTTTAATTTTTGTGAAATATTATTTATTTTAAACTCATACGAAGTGAAGTTCTTCCGCATTTCGGTGGCGTATATTTATATTGCTGTTGCCGCACCTCTTACATGTTGCTTAGAGGAAATAAAGAAGCAATAAAATACTGAAAGACAATTGTTGCTATTGTTGTTGCTGTTGATGTTGTATAAGAAGACGACGTCAACAATATGATTTATAGGATTTTCTACATGATTTAATAAAAGTTATGAAAGGATGCCTTTGTTGTTTTGGCGAATTTAATGCGACAACAAAGAGTAATATTATGAAATTAAAACAAAAGAAAAGCTAGAAGTTAATATTACTTAAAATTTTCTTTATTTTAAAAATTGGAAATTTAAAGCAGAAGTTATCACTTGGAAGTGATAAATATCATCAGAAGCTAATAATTTTCTTAATTATTAAGTTAACTTCATTATAACCTTGAAATTATTAATGTTTTTCTTGAATAAAAACCACAATTTCAATTAATCACTTATTGAGGTAAAACTTACTTAAGTTTCACACACTTAACTATTGATTTAGCAATATGTATTGCAAGCGTTAAATTCCCCACATTTTCTGCCAGTGAGTTACTCTTTAGCAAGCTAACAATTACAAAATTGTAAAACTAAATCCCCCTCAAATATAGGCAAATAAACATTAGTAAAACTTTAAATATTTGTGACCATATTAACCAATATGTGTATACACAAGTAATTGTAACATTTTCTTGCAAAAAAAAAAAAAAACAAACAGCAAAATTAAAAAAAAAAAAAAAAAAAAAGAAACCTGAATAACTAATTCACAATAAAACAGCTTGAAATCAGCTCCTCTAACAACTTTGAATATGAACATGTTTGTATTGAGTATGGTTAACAAAACAAACTATTTAAAATAAGACCACATCATATTACCATTCACTTTTTTTTGGAGTAAACAACAACAACAAAGAGAAAAATTAGCTATAATTTATTTTAGCAATAAAAATTTGTATTGAAATTAAACTAAAATAGTGTTACTATTAATTTTTCATTTCATAAATTACCTAAAATTATTCATTATTAATTAAAACTTGCTTAAATGTAAATAAAAAACAAAAGACTTAAGAAAGCTACACTTTCGTTTTGCCTATGTTACAATAGAGTGTTTAATAAAAGACTTAAGACACATACTTTACAGAGGTATTAAATACCAAAAGAGTAAAATGGATAAATGTTCATTTAGGAAAATAGTTTTTTTTTTAATAATTAAATTTTTTTCAAATTTACTTACTTGTTGGTATTTGGGCAGCCTTTGCTGTTAATAGAACTATCAGCTGTAATTAGACAAAAAAGATAACATTAATTTGTGGAAATTAAATTTATTAAATGAAAACTAAGTTCTAGTTCAGTTCCAGTACAGTTCTAGTTCAGTTCTAGTTCAGTTCTAGTTCAGTTCTAGTTCAGTTCTAGTTCAGTTCTAGTTCAGTTCTAGTTCTAGTTCAGTTCTAGTTCAGTTCTAGTTCAGTTCTAGTTCAGTTCTAGTTCAGTTCTAGTTCAGTTCCAGTTCAGTTCTAGTTCAGTTCTAATTCAGTTCTAGTTCAGTTCTAGTTCAGTTCTAGTTCAGTTCTAGTTCAGTTCTAGTTCAGTTCTAGTTCAGTTCTAGTTCAGTTCTAGTTCAGTTCTAGTTCAGTTCTAGTTCAGTTCTAGTTTCTAGTTCAGTTCTAGTTCAGTTCTAGTTCAGTTCTAGTTCAGTTCTAGTTCAGTTCTAGTTCAGTTCTAGTTCAGTTCTAGTTCAGTTCTAGTTCAGTTCTAGTTCAGTTCTAGTTCAGTTCTAGTTCAGTTCTAGTTCAGTTCTAGTTCAGTTCTAGTTCAGTTCTAGTTCAGTTCTAGTTCAGTTCTAGTTCAGTTCTAGTTCAGTTCTAGTTCAGTTCTAGTTCAGTTCTAGTTCAGTTCTAGTTCAGTTCTAGTTCAGTTCTAGTTCAGTTCTAGTTTCAGTTCTAGTTCAGTTCTAGTTCAGTTCTAGTTCAGTTCTAGTTCAGTTCTAGTTCAGTTTAGTTCAGTTCTAGTTCAGTTCTAGTTCAGTTCTAGTTCAGTTCTAGTTCAGTTCTAGTTCAGTTCTAGTTCAGTTCTAGTTCAGTTCTAGTTCAGTTCTAGTTCAGTTCTAGTTCAGTTCTAGTTCAGTTCTAGTTCAGTTCTAGTTCAGTTCTAGTTCAGTTCTAGTTCAGTTCTAGTTCAGTTCTAGTTCAGTTCTAGTTCAGTTCTAGTTCAGTTCTAGTTCAGTTCTAGTTCAGTTCTAGTTCAGTTCTCTAGTTCAGTTCTAGTTCAGTTCTAGTTCAGTTTCTAGTTCAGTTCTAGTTCAGTTCTAGTTCAGTTCTAGTTCAGTTCTAGTTCAGTTCTAGTTCAGTTCTAGTTCAGTTCTAGTTCAGTTCTAGTTCAGTTCTAGTTCAGTTCTAGTTCAGTTCTAGTTCAGTTCTAGTTCAGTTCTAGTTCAGTTCTAGTTCAGTTCTAGTTCAGTTCTAGTTCAGTTCTAGTTCAGTTCTAGTTCAGTTCTAGTTCAGTTCTAGTTCAGTTCTAGTTCAGTTCTAGTTCAGTTCTAGTTCAGTTCTAGTTCAGTTCTAGTTCAGTTCTAGTTCAGTTCTAGTTCAGTTCTAGTTCAGTTCTAGTTCAGTTCTAGTTCAGTTCTAGTTCAGTTCTAGTTCAGTTCTAGTTCAGTTCTAGTTCAGTTCTAGTTCAGTTCTAGTTCAGTTCTAGTTCAGTTCTAGTTCAGTTCTAGTTCAGTTCTAGTTCAGTTCTAGTTCAGTTCTAGTTCAGTTCTAGTTCAGTTCTAGTTCAGTTCTAGTTCAGTTCTAGTTCAGTTCTAGTTCAGTTCTAGTTCAGTTCTAGTTCAGTTCTAGTTCAGTTTCTAGTTCAGTTCTAGTTCAGTTCTAGTTCAGTTCTAGTTCAGTTCTAGTTCAGTTCTAGTTCAGTTCTAGTTCAGTTCTAGTTCAGTTCTAGTTCAGTTCTAGTTCAGTTCTAGTTCAGTTCTAGTTCAGTTCTAGTTCAGTTCTAGTTCAGTTCTAGTTCAGTTCTAGTTCAGTTCTAGTTCAGTTCTAGTTCAGTTCTAGTTCAGTTCTAGTTCAGTTCTAGTTCAGTTCTAGTTCAGTTCTAGTTCAGTTCTAGTTCAGTTCTAGTTCAGTTCTAGTTCAGTTCTAGTTCAGTTCTAGTTCAGTTCTCATTCTAGTTCAGTTCTAGTTCAGTTCTAGTTGAGTTCTAGTTCAGTTCTAGTTGAGTTCTAGTTCAGTTCTAGTTCAGTTACATTTCAGTTACATTCTATAAACTAGATAATAAACTAAAGGCTAGACTGTAGACGAGACTATAGACTAAATTATAGATTGGACTATAGACTAGACTATAGACCGGACTATATACCAGAATATAGACCAGATTATAGACTAGTCTATATACTAGTCTATAAACTAAACTATAGGCTGTTCTACAGACAAGACTACTTCAATTCGATTGTATAGGCTAGATTTTCTGGCAGCCCTAATTGTTACTTCTGTACTTACAAATATGTGTAATGAGGTGTAGAGTGTAAAGGTGGAAGAGCCCATGATGCCTGCAAAAAACAAAAAATTAAAAACATTAAAATTTATAAGAGATTGAATACAAATAGGTTTTCTTTTGAAAAAATTCATATATATAACATAACAATAAAACCATTATATTAAGGGTAATCTGGTTAATATGGTAATAACAAGACATTATGTTCTAGAATAAAATAAATATTTCTTGTAAGAGAAAACAATCTTCAATATAGTGTTATTTTTGCACAAAATTTTAAATTTTACAAAATATGTAAATCTATCCGCTGCATGTGAATACCCCTATTAATTGTTACTTTTTCAATCATGCCAAATCTTATTTAACACATTTTTTTTGTTCATCTTTTACAATCTCAGACCAGCTCTAATGAGTTTTTGATTGTCTATGGCTTTTGCAACAATAAAAAAAACACATTTCTTTTTCATTAGCAAAATTATATTTTAAAGAAACGTTTTCTTCGTGCCTTCTATCAAGTTATTTGGCAGATGAGAATACAATTTGAAAATATATTAGATAAATAGCACATGATAACATTAATTAGATACAAATCAAATAAGAATAACCTATTTAGAATAAAGAAAAAAAAACCTGGTGGATAATAATAGAGCATTTTATTGCAAGAAAATTATTATGGAAGTAATTTATTAGCTGGGAATTAAGGTTGACGTTAAAAAGTTTAATTAGAGAAAGGAATGAATGGCCAGAGAGCTAAAAATACTAAAAATGAGGAATTTAATACTACTTTCTCTTAGATTTAATGGTACTTTTTATTAGTTTATGAATTAATAGCTTTATAAATTCAGAAATATAAAACTTTAAGACTCCAGAACTTTGGAACTTTAGAACGGTTGAACTTAACGACTTTAGAACTATAGAACCTTATATAACTCTATATAACTTTAAAACCTTATAAATTTATAACTTTATAACTATGTAAATACACTATATGCGTTTTTCTCGAAAACTATAAGGATACAGCAAAAACAATGAAAATCTGTGATCAATTCTAAATCCCATGAAAAATCGATTTTTTTAGTGAAAACATAAAACTGCGTTTTTCTCGAAAACTATAAGAGATACAGCAAAAACAATGAAAATCTGTGATCACTTCTAAATCCCATGGAAAATCGATTTTTTGAGTGAAAACATAAAACTGCGTTTTTCTCGAAAACTATAAGAGATACAGCAAAAACAATGAAAATCTGTGATCACTTCTAAATCCCATGAAAAACCGATTTTCTGAGTGAAAACATAAAACTGCGTTTTTCTCGAAAACTATAAGAGATACAGCAAAAACAATGAAAATCTGTGATCACTTCTAAATCCCATGAAAAACCGATTTTCTGAGTGAAAACATAAAACTGCGTTTTTCTCGAAAACTATAAGAGATACAGCAAAAACAATGAAAATCTGTGATCACTTCTAAATCCCATGGAAAATCGATTTTTTGAGTGAAAACATAAAAGTGCGTTTTTCTCGAAAACTATAAGAGATACATCAAAAACAATGAAAATCTGTGATCACTTCTAAATCCCAATAAAAATCGATTTTTTGAGTGAAAACATAAAAGTGCGTTTTTCTTGGAAACTATAAGAGATACAGCAAAAACAATGAAAATCTGTGATCACTTCTAAATCCCAATAAAAATCGATTTTTTGAGTGAAAACATAAAAGTGCGTTTTTCTTGGAAACTATAAGAGATACAGCAAAAACAATGAAAATCTGTGATCACTTCTAAATCCCATGAAAAATCGATTTTTTTAGTGAAAACATAAAACTGCGTTTTTCTTGGAAACTATAAGAGATACAGCAAAAACAACGCAAATCTGTGATCACTTCTAAATCCCATGGAAAATCGATTTTTTGAGTGAAAACATAAAAGTGCGTTTTTCTTGAAAACTATAAGAGATACAGCAAAAACAATGATAATCTGTGATCACTTCTAAATCCCATGAAAAATCGATTTTTTGAGTGAAAACATAAAAGTGCGTTTTTCTCGAAAACTATAAGAGATACAGCAAAAACAATGAAAATCTGTGATCACTTCTAAATCCCATGAAAAATCATAAAAGTGAGTTTTTCTCGAAAACTATAAGAGATACAGCAAAAACAATGAAAATCTGTGATCACTTCTAAATCCCATGAAAAATCGACTTTGTGAGTGAAAACATAAAAGTGCGTTTTTCTCGAAAGCTATAAGAGATACAGCAAAAACAATGAAAATCTGTGATCATCCCATGGAAAATCGATTTTTTAAGTGAAAACATAAAACTGCGTTTTTCTCGAAAACTATAAGAGATACAGCAAAAACAATGAAAATCTGTGATCACTTCTAAATCCCATGAAAAATTGATTTTTTTAGTGAAAACATAAAAGTGCGTTTTTCTCGAAAACTATAAGAGATACATCAAAAACAATGAAAATCTGTGATCACTTCTAAATCCCATGAAAAATTGATTTTTTTAGTGAAAACATAAAAATGCGTTTTTCTCGAAAACTATAAGAGATACAGCAAAAACAATGAAAATCTGTGATCACTTCTAATTCCCATGAAAAATCGATTTTTTGAGTAAAAACATAAAAGTGAACAATGAAAATCTGTGATCACTTCTAAATCCCATGAAAAATCGATTTTTTGTGTGAAAACACAAAAGTGCGTTTTTCTCGAAAACTATAAGAGATACAGCAAAAACAATGATATTCTGTGATCACTTCTAAATCCCAATAAAAATCGATTTTTTGAGTGAAAACATAAAACTGCGTTTTTCTCGAAAACTATGAAAATCTGTGATCACTTCTAAATCCCTTGAAAAATCGATTTTTTAAGTGAAATCATAAAACTGCGTTTTTCTCGAAAACTACAAGAGATACAGCAAAAATAATGAAAATCTGTGATCACTTCTAAATCCCATGAAAAATCAATTTTTTGAGTGAAAACATAAAAGTGCGTTTTTCTCGAAAACTATAAGAGATACAGCAAAAACAATGAAAATCTGTGATCACTTCTAAATCCCATGAAAAATCGATTTTTTGAGTGAAATCATAAAACTGCGTTTTTCTCGAAAACTACAAGAGATACAGCAAAAACAATGAAAATCTGTGATCACTTCTAAATCCCATGAAAAATCAATTTTTTGAGTGAAAACATAAAAGTGCGTTTTTCTCGAAAACTATAAGAGATACATCAAAAACAATGAAAATCTGTGATCACTTCTAAATCCCATGAAAAATCAATTTTTTGAGTGAAAACATAAAAGTGCGTTTTTCTCGAAAACTATAAGAGATACATCAAAAACAATGAAAACCTGTGATCACTTCTAAATCCCATGAAAAATTGATTTTTTAGTGAAAACATAAAAGTGCGTTTTTCTCGAAAACTATAAGAGATAAAGCAAAAACAATGAAAATCTGTGATCACTTCTAAATCCCATGAAAATCAATTTTTTAAGTGAAAACATAAAACTGCGTTTTTCTCGAAAACTATAAGAGATACAGCAAAAACAATGAAAATCTGTGATCACTTCTAAATCCCATGAAAAATCGATTTTTTTAGTGAAAACATAAAACTGCGTTTTTCTCGAAAACTATAAGAGATACAGCAAAAACAATGAAAATCTGTGATCACTTCTAAATCCCATGAAAAATCGATTTTTTTAGTGAAAACATAAAACTGCGTTTTTCTCGAAAACTATAAGAGATACAGCAAAAACAATGAAAATCTGTGATCACTTCTAAATCCCATGAAAAATCGATTTTTTTAGTGAAAACATAAAACTGCGTTTTTCTCGAAAACTATAAGAGATACGGCAAAAACAATGAAAATCTGTGATCACTTCTAAATCCCTTGAAAAATCGATTTTTTTAGTGAAAACATAAAACTGCGTTTTTCTCGAAAACTATAAGAGATACAGCAAAAACAATGAAAATCTGTGATCACTTCTAAATCCCATGAAAAATCGATTTTTTAGTGAAAACATAAAACTGCGTTTTTCTCGAAAACTATAAGAGATACAGCAAAAACAATGAAAATCTGTGATCACTTCTAAATCCCATGAAAAATCGATTTTTTAAGTGAAAACATAAAAGTGCGTTTTTCTCGAAAACTATAAGAGATACAGCAAAAACAATGAAAATCTGTGATCACTTCAAAATCGCATGAAAAATCGATTTTTTGAGTCAAAACATAAAAGTGCGTTTTTCTCGAAAACTATAAGAGATACAGCAAAAACAATGAAAATTTGTGATCACTTCTTAATCCCATGAAAAGTGAAACAATGAAAATCTGTGATCACTACTAAATCCCATGAAAAATCGATTTTTTGAGTGAAAACATAAAACTGCGTTTTTCTCGAAAACTATAAGAGATACAGCAAAAACAATGAAAATCTGTGATCACTTCTAAATTACATGGAAAATCGATTGTTTGAGTGAAAACATAAAAGTGTGTTTTTCTCGAAAACTATAAGAGATACAGCAAAAACAATGAAAATCTGTGATCACTTCTAAATTACATGGAAAATCGATTTTTTGAGTCAAAACATAAAACTGCGTTTTTCTCGAAAACTATAAGAGATACAGCAAAAACAATGAAAATCTGTGATCACTTCTAAATCCCTTGAAAAATCGATTTTTTTAGTGAAAACATAAAACTGCGTTTTTCTCGAAAACTATAAGAAATACAGCAAAAACAATGAAAATCTGTGATCACTTCTAAATCCCATGTAAAATCGATTTTTTGAGTGAAAACATAAAACTGCGTTTTTCTTGGAAACTATAAGAGATATAGTAAAAACAATGAAAATCTGTGACCACTTCTAAATCCCATGAAAAATCGATTTTTGAGTGAAAACATAAAGGTGCGTTTTTCTTGGAAACTATAAAAGATACAGCATAAACAATGAAAATCTGTGATCACTTCTAAATCCCATGAAAAATCGATTTTTTAAGTGAAAACATAAAAGTGCATTTTTCTCGAAAACTATAAGAGATACGGCAAAAACAATGAAAATCTGT